AGCTCTGGCCGCAGGGCCCGGCCCCGGACGGCGGCCCGCGCGACAGGAACTTTCTCTTCGTGGGAGTGATGACCGCGCAGAAATACCTGCAGACCCGCGCCGTGGCCGTCTACAGGTGAGCGGCTGGCCCCCGGGCACCTCGTCCTCCATCTTCCACCGGGCATCCGGGGCGGCGGCCCTGCAGATGATGCTCCCCGCGGCTCGTGCCTTTGCCCGCTTCTCAGAACCTGGGTTCCCGGGGTGGCCCTCGGGCGATGCCAGGCCTTGGCAGCAGAGGTCAGGCAGGACGGGAAACGCGGCCCTCAAGAGCATGGGCTTTGGGGTCAAGGCGGACCCGAGTGGCCCCTCTGGGTGTGGTCCTCTCCCCGACTCTGCCTATGTCTGTGACATGGGCCGGACTGAATGGATCTCCGTCCCAAGGTTGTTGGAAAAACTCAACACAATCCCTGTGCCCCTGGCAGCAGTGCTGGTCGATTGATTATTCGATCCTCTGAAATCTGCATCTTTGTCTTTGCAGAACTAGAGCCCGTGGAAATTAACCCGGATAGTCCCCTAGTATACGTGTAGGTTTCACTGGTGGTGGCACTAATGTAAAGGAAGGGGGGTGCCCGCTCCACACGGACCACACCGGTCCGTTCAGTACATGGAAAGAAACCTCGGGGGAAGCAGTGCCTGGCCCAAGGGTGGATTTGGTGCTAATTAGCCCCGTTTAGTGATGTTATCCGCTGTCTGGGCTCTCGTTGGCCACACGACTCACGAAAGTGGCTGGAATCATGTTCAGGATTAGCAGAGGGATTAGCCAAAGTCGTCTTTAGAAGAGAGATGATTTGGGAATGGCAGATTGTGTTGGAGTGAATTCGAGGTACAGGAGGGGATTCGACGAAGGGATGTATCAGAAACCATATCCGTGTGAAGTACAGACATGCTGGCGGTGTGGGTAAGATTTCCGATTCATCCCGCCGAGAGGTCCCCACAGGAAGGAACTTTCCGAGCGAGGCCAAGCTGGTTGCTGCTGGTTCTTAACTTATAACCAGCACCTTTATAGCTTCAGCTTTTGAGTCTAGCCCCGGTCTGGGTTTTCGGGCATTAGTGGTCATGACGGGAAAAGCCTGTGTGGATCCCCGTTCCTCTAAGGGAGGAGGTAGAGGATCGCAAAAGGAGATGGACGCGAGGAAGGTCTGCCCTTTGGGTGCCTTGATGCCCATTCCCACATGTCGTCATTAGGACGGTGGCCCAATGCAGACCTCGGTTCCATCAGCAAGGGGCCTGAGTGACTGAAAAGCTTAGGATGCGGCCAGTGTGAATTTAAACTAAGATCGCGGTATGGATAGGAGCCTGCAGATCAAGATCTCTCAGATCTCCTGTGAATTCTTGGGATTTTGTGTTAATTGTGCTTTTTGACAAGAAATACCTATGTCAGAAGTGGAGGATGAGCTGTATAAATTGTTTCCAGCACGGTTTTAAAAGTAAATCCTCATGACTGCGATGTGATAACAAGCCCCAAGAAGTCACAGCTTTGGGGACAATTACCAAAGCAGTTTTTCAGATCGTAGGTGGCGCGACTCCTTGCCGCCCCCCCCCCCCGCCCGCAAACAAATACATTGTTTTTCATGGATACAAAGTCAGTAAGTAAAACGTGTCATACCTGCAGTACTCTCAAAATGTTACACACCCTGGCCCTACTGCTTGATCTTGGAGACGATCTTATCCCAGAGGCCATGCCTGACCTCTTGGCCTTCTTTCCAAATCTCCTGTCTCATCTGGTTTTGGATGATTTGATCTCATTGTTTTCTTTTAGGCAATTTGGGCAAAGTAGAAAAACAATGTGCCCTCTCCCCGGGTTCTTGCGTCTTTGTGACAGTTCTGCCTTCCCGATAAAGGGAAACCCTTCCGGGGGAAACAGTGTATCCTCCCCAGTCTGGCTGTCAGCTCTCCCTCAGCTCTCTGATCTTAAGAAGTTACACTTCCTCTAAGCTGGGGGAGGAGGGGGGGCACCTACCCTTCCTGTTAAGGTTCTCGGGGGAGGAGGGGGGGCATCTACCCTTCCTGTTAAGGTCCTCGCTTCTCAGCTGTCAGCGCCCCACATAGACACCTTGCAGGAGATGATGGCACAAGACCATTTTAGCCTTAAGGAACTTTGGGGGCAGGGCCGAACTGGGGTGGAGGTTATATGTTGTAACTTATGATTATGGCTTTGCTGTGCTTTGCAGCTCGGGCCAGAAGCCCACACTCAGCTCTTTAATTGGAAATTTTATGCACAGTTTGGAATAAAAGTCGGCTCGAATCTTCTAGCATAAGCTAGGACTTCTGGTTCGGCACTGGTCGTGTTCAGTTTTATGGTTCCCTTGAAAGGCAAATTCATTCTTTACCTTAAGAAAAATTCGAGT